ATTTGGCAACGTAGCACACGCCCAAAAAATAATTCGTTCCATCTTTCTACACAAACACTGACAACCTTCGGCCTTCTGTCAAAGGGTTCATCTTACTCGTTATTCCATGCCCACCATTTTGTGCTTCACGATGTAATGCTTTCATGTTCTAAAAATTTTTAATCTGTTTTTAACTTGTTCTTGTCACACAGTTGCGTGTATTTTATATAATTTTGACCATTGTACCATTTATCCAGCTTTCACTATGTTACTGGGTGATTCCCTCATCCTAAACGTAGACAACAATTAGCAACATCCTCACATACTACTATAAGTTAAGTTAATTTAAATTCATTTTACACCATTGTTGCTACTGTTATCAATGTAATTGCAGCTCCTGATGATGATGGGAAAGTCCATTGAAAGTTAGAGAGAATAAAAAAAGTATAAAGAGTCCTCTTTGCTTAAAATTTTTGTCGAAGTACCCAACAAAAGGCGGAAGCTTTAATTTTTCACCTATATACAGGGTGTTTCAGTTTATTGTTTCATAACTTTAAGATTCGCTAGAACTTTTAAAATTAATGCATAAAGTCTATATAAACATGGGTCGAAAAATGCGTGGCTTCCGAAATCCAGGGTGTTTAAATTTACTTTCTAAAATAGTTTTTTTCAAATATTTCGAACAATTTTTGATAGATAACAGTGAAAATTGGTATACAAGGGTTTTTTGGTACGACAAAACGAACCATGGGCATAGTTTTACTGTCGCCGCTAGAGGGCGCTCTCTACTGTACCTAGTGTATTAAAATGACAGAAATTTTTTTCTTAGTGCAATTTTTTGCTTTTTGAATAAAAAAACTGATTCTCCGCACTTTTCAATATAAAAAAGCTTCTCCTGTGAGTTTTCGTTATAGTTAGCTGTTTTTGAGATATTTGGATTTTTAAGGTTCGATGCATTTTTAATTATTTATGGGAAAATAATATTTGTTTTTACATTTTCGATTTGGGCATTACAAGTAATGTTGGACCAGCGAAAGATTGCAAGCCGAAAGAATGCGGACAAAAAATTGCGAAGTTGTCAGATGTTCTACATAAAATGCGGTCCATACATATTAACATATTTAAGATATAGAATTGTTCCGCTGAATTTGGCAATGTAGCTGGAAAACCCAGGCCGCAGGTAAACATCCGGTCGCTGATTGGTCCAAAACTCTTATCTTATCTGAAACTAGAATAACGTGCCGATGGCACGGTCATTTATAAACCTACTCCCATAGGCGTAGGCAGTTGGCAAATACTTTGAAAATATAATTTACTGTTTAGTGGTGATAATGGAATTCAAGCATGGGAAAGTTATTCACAGCCAGGCAAGGGAAATAATAGCAAACGTGATACGTGCTTGCGATGCAGAAGCGGCTAACAATACTTTCGTTTATCCACTGGTAGCTAGAAATGCAAGGGCGGCATATTATACGGGTGTTAGTGAACGAACTATAAGTAAAATTAGAAAAGAAGATAAAGACAGGCAAAATGCAACCTCCACACAGCCTTTAGCTTCTCCCGGAAAAAAGAGATCACGCCCTTCTGTGATCCAAAAAATTGATGGAGTCGATTTTTCCATTATTCGGAGAATGATAGAAAAATTTTACTGTGATTTTAAAGTGGTACCTACTTGTAGTAAACTTCTAATCAAACTGAAGGAAGAAATGGAATTTCCATTTGGTAAAGAATCGTTGAGGCTGCTTTTAAAAGCAAAAGGATTTTACTGGCGTAAATGCCACAACAAAAGGAAATTACTAATGGAAAGACCCAGTATTTTACATTGGCGATACAAGTATCTTAGGTCTATTAAAAAGTTCCGGGAAGAAGGAAGGCATATTATTTATTTGGACGAAACTTGGGTTGATAATGACCTCACTTTCAAGAAATGCTGGCAAAGCGAAGAAATTATGGGTGTCCTGAGCAATATAAGTTCTACAGGTAATAAAGTTTCTTTCACCTCGATTTTGCTTATTATACATTTTTCTCAATTTTGGAATATTCTTAATAAGTGCTCATTTAATTTGTCTAATTGAATACATAATCCCTTGCAAGTATTTTTTTCTCAAAAATATGTTTTTTATACATAGTGATTCAAAAAGGTGTTGGCAAACTTAAAATAACACTAAAATGAGGCTATTTATTCATTTCCAGGACGACTTATAATTGTTCATGCGGGTTCGCAAGATGGTTTTGTTCCTGGAGCCTGTCTCATTTTCAAGGCTGGCTGTGCCACTGGTGATTATCACGGTCAAATGAACCAAGAAAATTTCACGAAGTGGCTTACTGAAAAACTATTTCCTAACATTCCTCCTAATAGTATTATAATAATGGATAATGCACCTTACCATTCAGCTTTGGAAGACAAGCCTCCAACTAGATCTTCTCTAAAAAGAGACATCATCACGTGGTTGAGCAAAAAAGGTATAGAGCATGATCCTAATGCTAAAAAAATGGAGCTTTATGAAATAGCTTGTCTACATAGGCCACCATCTGATGAGAAAAATTATAAGATAGATAATTTAATAAGAAGTTTCGGACACACCCCACTTCGAACGCCACCCTATATGTGTCAGTTTAATCCCATAGAGATGATTTGGGCACAAGTAAAATTTTTCATTAGAAGCCATAATACAAGCGGCGAATTTACTATAAAAAAACTAGATGAAATTTCTAATAAGGCCATCGCTTCAGTAAGTGCCAGTGACTGGCAAAAGGTTATTGGACATGTTATAAAAATTGAAGATGAATATTGGGAAAAAGACAGTCTCATTCAAGAAATACAGGAAGAAATAATAATCAACATAGGAGGTGAAAGTGATAGCAATGACAGTTCCTCAGACAGTGATCATGACTCTAATCAGGATTGAAACTATACTAGATTGGCTACCTTTTAGAATTTTTAGATATTCATTTATTATACTATTGGTTTGTGGCTTTTAGTATCTCAGTAGAAAGTCTAATTCTATGTGTTGTTTATGGGTTATTTCATCAAGAAATTACTTTTTGTTTTCCTATATTTTTCTATTCAGTCAGATATTTTTGACTTGTTGTATTCTATTTTAGAAGAATGCATAATTTGTTTTGCTGTTCAATCATAATGCGTACATAGGAATATTACTTGTTGCCTAAAAAATATATTTATTTTGTTCTCAATATTCAGTGTTTGTGTATATTTATTTCTTATAATGTATGTTTGGTATCACGTCATTATGAATCGCAAAAAAATATTAATACTACCAGTTGTAATAAAATATAAATTCAATTAATAATTCAAGTCTCTCCGATCTCCGCCTATGACTCCATATAAAATCGTCTAATGGTAAGGTTTTTTCATCGCATTTCCCCCTTTCGTCCCTAGCAATCTTTGGCTGGTCGATCTATAATTAACCCATTAATGCCCAGAATTATTTTTTCTGGCATTTCACTTAATCTTTTGATGTGTTATCATTATTTGGTAACATTTTCATATAAAATTATGATTTTATAAAAATTATGGTTTTGAAGTAGTTTTTTTTGATGTATGATAAATCATACGCTGGGCTACAGTAGGATGAAAAAAGTCAAAAACAATGGTATATCTAATATATATTCAAAGAAACAATTATAGAATAATACATCCATAAAAAGCCTAAAGATTACTTCTGGTGATATTGTCGGAAACATTTATCTGGATGTAGACCTATATTGCATTTTACACAGGAAAATTTTGTACATTTTCCACATTTTCCACAACGACGCTGCGTCTCCTGTCGGTCAATCCAGTGCTCTTTTCCATCGTATCGAACTTCTGATAGAACCTTACAGGATAGTTTTGGTTTTGGACCAGTATTTGAGTTTGAAGGTGGCGCAGCTAAAAGCGCTAGGACTACTCTTCTACAAAATTCAAGGAGTGATATAGATTCATTCCTTGATAGAAGTGCCTGACGATATAAATACCACATATTGACAACAGATCCGTCCAGGCAAGAGCGAATCAACGGCCAGTACCATTTTTTCGACCTAATCCTAGATCTATACAAGCCTCTCATTTGGTCGAATCGATCGACACCTCCCATTCCTTTATTAACGTATATAAATGTACTAGAGACGGTTGATCAACTTGGATAGCAGATTTGTCCTTCCTCGACCATCGTTTACACGAGCCTTTCGTCTGGTAAAGGGTTTTGTCTTGTACATTTGATATAACAGTAACTTGACTATTGTCATGCCAACGTGTCAATGTTATGTTGGATGTTGAGTTATGAATTGTGTAGTGACTACCCCTATTCTCCTTTTTTAAATCTTTGAGAGGAGCTTTCTCTACTCGATCTGATCTTACCGTACCCACACAGTATAGTTTATTAGCTGTTAGGGTTTCTAATAGAGGAATAGAGGTAAAATAGTTATATAGGAAAATGGTACTATTTTGTTCTAAAAAATTTAGGCACAGTTTCTCAGTTACACTTGAGCCAAGTGATTTGCCTTCTATTTTGTCTCCTGCACCGGTATAAACATTAAATTTGACGAGATATCCATCATAGGTACATAAACACCAGAATTTGAAGCCAAAGCGTATGGGCTTTCCTCTAATGAATTGCTTCATATGATGTCTCCCATAATAAGGCTCCATTGCCTCATCTACAGATACGTATTTTCCTAATGGAGAAATACATTCCTGTGATATTTTATTTAGGTGGTCGATCAAGGGTCTAATCTTATAAATTTTATCATTCTTATCAATTTTACTGTTATCATTCAAGTGAAAAAATCTGTGGATAGTTTCAAACTTGTTTCTTGACAACGCGTTTGTAACTAGAGGGTTATTGGTATCCATTCGTGTTTCCCAGTAGCAGCGTTTGGAAGGTACTGAACTATACCCAGACAAGAGAATTATAGCTAGATATTTATAGATATCTTCAGCTGTGACTGAGAAACCATGAAATCCCTTCTGGTCGGCATATCTTTTTGTTTCTATACACATTGTGGTGATTATATCTTCACTAAAAAAACCTTTGAACAAATCGATCGGTGCCATATTTCTCTCTAATATATCGGTAAGAATTTTCCTCTAGTAACTCAATTCGCTGGTCTCGTGGTTCAAGTGTTATTTCTTGCCATGCTCTATTGACTTTTTGTGTACTTTTTCTGACAGAAGGAATTTGAATGTTCAGTCTTTTCTGCTTATCAGCCAGGGTTTCATCATCACTCTCTTCCCAGTTCTGGTCACTTGGTCGGATTTGTAGAGGAGACTGAATTCCAGTTTTAATTGGAGATTTCTCTTTATTCTTGTTAACAGCAAAAACATCTACTTTCTGAGAGAGAATACCCTTTCCCAGATCTCTGATACTAGGTACCATATCGTCATCACTGTGAGCATCATCTTGGTCGCTGTCCATGGCATCGTCGGGAGGAACTAACGCGACTTCTAAGCTCTCTGCACTTTGAAACTGCTCATGAGCTTCATCGTCTGAGTCCAGGCTGTGGAAGTAGTTCATCAGCTCCTCCAAGTCGTTTGGATTCTCTGGATTATACAAAGTTTTCCTGTAAAATATAGTGAATATCAAATAATAATAATAATAATAATAATACCTACTGTGGACCAGCATATGATATAACATACGTGACACAAAAAGTCTCGAATCAATGGTAAATTAAAATTTTAACATTTCTCGAAAATGGAAATACTTGGAGCAATCCCCAAGGCACAGAAACGGACAAAGTAAACAACAAATAAAATAACTGATTTCATGGAAATAATGAATAACTTACCTGGTACTCATTCCGATGGTGAATGTGAACCTCTCGTTCTTATAACAGATCACTAAGCTATATGAGTCATAATAGAACTGAATTGCAATGTTGTATTATCAATATTAGACCTATCTACACTCAAACATTTGCATAACCGCTCGCTATGCCGCTAACGCAAGATATAACATAACCTCGAATGGCCACGTGTTTTACGTATGATGAATCATACGCTGGGAGCTACTGGGTTAAGATGATCGTTTAGATTGTGTTTTTAAACACAGCAATAATTCCTAACTCAAAATAAACACAAAAAACAGATTTTTTTTTTAAACTCCAACTACCACGAAGGCCTGAGGCCTAAGCACCCATTGGGTACCGTGGGGCTATAGGGGGATACATGGGAAAGGGGGAACGCCACACGGACTCTGGCGAGGGAACACGTGTGCATGCAACATGCACACATTCTGGCTCCGCCTACGAGAACCGCCGGGTGGTACCTCCGCGTTCGACAGTCAGAGACCGTCTACCACCTACAAACAATCACAACATCCATAGCCAAGAGAAAAATGTCTCCTGGGACGGGACTCGAACCCGCACAGCGCACGGAGACTGATCAGGAGACCGAAGAGTCTACTACTGCGGCCACCGCTGCTGTCTGAATATTAATTTGTTTAGTTTTCCAATATTATTTTTAACAAATTAAATTAATTATTTACAACTAAAATGCTATTGGATAGTTAGGACAAACATACAAAATCTAAAGTAGTTGCTCGAAATGTAAACCCAATTGTTCAATACACAATTCACATCTACGAATGATCGAACGTGGTATAGCATTATTCAATTAAGGCTTTATTTCATCACATGCATTCCGGATTCTGTCTATTAGCATATCTCTTGTGGTTACGGGAGTCTGGTACACTTTTTCTTTTAGAAATCCCCACACAAAGAAATCTAATGGATTTAGGTCAGGGGATCGTGGAGGCCCGGCGACTGGTCCTCCACGGCCGATCCATCTTTCTGGATAATTTTCGTCCAGCCAGTTTCTAACTATTCTCAAATAATGAGCTGGACAACCATCAGGCTGGAACCAGGCCAATCTTCTTAAATCTAACATAACATCATCCCACATATTTGCATGTTCAGCCTTTAAAAATTCCAAGAAGGTCGCAGCATTTAACCTTGCAGGCAAAAGGTAGGGCCCAAATAGTCGATTACGGTAGATACCAATCCACACGTTCACACTAAATTCATGCTGAAAATTTCTTTCCCGAACTGCATGCGGATTTTCATGCGACCAAATATGTTGATTATGAAAATTTACCACTCGACGTCTAGTGAAGCATGACTCATCGGTCCATAAAACGTTACTTAAAAACTCCCTATTATTATCAGTTCTATCAAGAATCTACTGACAAAATGTGATTCTTCGTTCTCCGTCCCCTGGCTGTAGTCCTTGCACATGTTGCAAATGGTAAGGACGTCAAAGGTCATTTCTAAAAACACGGTGAACATGGCTTGTTGAAATTCCCAAGGCACCAGAAACTCTCCTAACACTTGTGGTCGGATCTCTATCAAACTCACGCAGAATCATACGGGTAAATCTGCGCTGACGAACATTTATGTTTTGATCCCTTTGGAGATTTCCAAAACCATTTTCAATTATTTGGCGATGCACTCTTACAAATACTGAGCGAGTTGGATGTCGTCTGTTTGGAAATTTTCGTGCGTATTCTCTGGCTGCTTCTGCTGCGTTTCCATTTACAAAGGCATACACAAAATGAATATCCGCTAACTCTTGATTGGAGAATAAAAATGGCATTTTTATAAAACTTACAAAAAAAAAACAGGTAAAAGAAACTAAATTTCGTGCATTCACGATTGCAAAAAAACGTTTCAAGTTTCAACAGACAACAAAACTAACTGTCAACTAATTGACGTTTAACCTTATTCTGCTTTCAATTTCAAAAATATTTGCAGGCACAGCCTACTTCTAAAAATTATCTACCTTTTAACGTTATTTTATCATAAATAATTAAAAATGCATCGAACCTTAAAAATCGAACTATCTCAAAAACGGCTAACTATAACGAAAATTCACAAGAGAGCTTTTTGTGTAGAAAAGTGTGAAGAATCAGTTTTTTTTATTCAAAAAGCAAAAAATTGCACTAAGAGCAACTTTTCGGTCATTTTAATACACTACAGGTACAGTAGAGAGCGCCCTCTAGCGGCTACAGTAAAACTATGCCCATGGTTCGTTTTGTCGCACCAAAAAACCCTTGTATACCAATTTTCACTGTTATACATCAAATATTGTTCGAAATATTTAAAAAGAACTATTTTAGAAAGTAAATTTAAACACCATGTATTTCGGAAGCCCCGCATTTTTCGACCCATGTTTATACAGACTTTATGCATTAATTTTAAAAGATCTATCGAATCTTAAAGTTATGCAACAATAAACTGAAACACCCTGTATATATATATCTACCTGTATATATACCCTGCTCACTATGCATCACTTAGGAAATGATACATTTTGTAATACCCACTTACATTGGACTGTATATCAAAATAACTGCACAGATTTCTGGCATTATAGAAAAATCAGCATTTGGATCTTGGATCTAATCTACCGTCGGTCCAGTGGCATTAGCAATACGAGCGCGTCCTCCTAATTTGTAGACAAGCCGCTCCAAAGCAAGAGGAGCCTCAGAAAGATCGAGATAGCTCGTCCGGAGACAATCTTGGTGTTCCCATATTCAGCGTAATCTCAAACCGAATCAAAGCACACTTAAAATATTATACCGCGATGGCGGCGGAATTTCCCTTTTATATTTTGCCGTTTTTCAGGTTTTATCGCCGACGAAGACGGATTTGAATTTTTAAAAGCCGAGATGACTGAGACACAGACTGCTGATATTGTAAAATTGTTTAAATTATGTCGAACACAGATCGTTGTCAAACAAAGAAACGGCTCGTGTTTAGTAGTCCACAGAATGGTGTAGTCTTCGAGCAGATGGTTTTACAAGAGGGAAGTGAAGGAAGTTTTGTTATCGGACCTATGTTTTCTGAATGTGTCTACGTCACAAAAACCCATGTCCCGTTTTTCTAACAGTCTTGTCTACCAATCTGTTGGTGTTTTGTTACTATGTAGTTTCAGCAATCAGTGCATCAATTGCCGAAACTTTTGGGTGTGGGATTACTAGAAAGAACTCAGAGATTATAAAAAAGAAGTCATACAGCGTGAGCAGAAAGCTTATATTGAATTTTCCATTAAACAGATAAATATAACAATGCTTGGCACCGGCTACGTCAAATTGGAGATGTCAAAAACAATGCACATTCTACTCCTCAACGTCTTTATAATTCGGAAGCAATCAATGCCTACTTTTTAAATCTAACCAAAGCTCATAAAACTCAGTCTCAACTATATTTGTTGAGTAAATACCAAGGTCCTCGCAGAAACAACTTGTTTTCTTTCACTTATGTGAATGCTGCATTAAAATACATAAGAAGTATTAAATCTGATGCCCACATTAATTATAGTATTAACCTGTGTTTAATTAACTGTGATATTTCAGAAATCATTTCATTTCCGAGGTATCTGTAGTTGAAGATATTAATGCCCACATTAATTATAGTATTAACCTGTGTTTAATTAACTGTGATATTTCAGAAATCATTTCATTTCCGAGGTATCTGTAGTTGAAGATATTAAAGATCTTTATTATTATATTACACTGGACAACAAATTTTAGTTTTTTAATTGTATCTTGTGGGAAAAGTGCACTTCTTTGTCAATTTTGGGGCGCTGAATCCAAAAATGACAATGAAATAAAAAAATTAGTTGCGGTTTAGAAAAACACTTTTTATTTTTAAGGATATATTAAAAAAGTAACAAGATTCATATACTTATAAGAATCACTATATGCGCTGTCTTTTTGCTGTTCTTTTATGGATCGTTTCTGGAGCACCTCTACCAAGAGTCCAACAGTAGTTTGCAAGCATGGAAGGATTCCACTTTCCCTGGTACCTTTTTTCCATTGTTGAAATATCCTGATGAAAACGTTCGCCGTGCTCATCACTTACGGCTCCGCAATTGTCAGGAAAAAAGTCCAGGTGTGAGTGTAGGAAATGTATCTTAAGAGACATATTACAGCCCATCTTTTGATACGATGACAGCATATTTTTGACAAGGGTTTTATAGTTGTCAGCTTTTCTATTTCCCAAGAAATTTGTGACCACCAGACGGAAATCATTCCAAGCAGTTTTTTCAATACCTGTTAAAGTGTTTTCAAACTGTGTATCTTTCAAAATATTTCGAACCTGTGACCCAACAAAAATACCTTCTTTAACCTTTGCCTCACTTAGTCTTGGAAATTTCTGACGCAGGTATTGAAAAGCTGACCCATCTCTATCTAATGCCTTGACAAAGTTTTTCATTAGGCCCAACTTGATATGCAGTGGTGGTAATAAATTTTTTTTCGAATCTACTAATGGCATATGCTGTACATTTTTTTGACCTGGCTCTAGGAATTGACGAACAGGCCAGTTTTGTCTGGTGTAATGAAGTGCCTTTGCCCGACTGTCCCATTCACACAAAAAAACAGCAAAACTTTGTGTAGCCTAGCTGCAGCCCAAGTAAATGTGCAACAACTTTCAAATCGCCACAAATATGCCATTGGTGCTTATCGTATTTTATGCATGTCAATAGGTACTTCATATTGTCATATGATTCTTTCATGTGAACTGCATACCCTACAGGAAGAGATGGTAAAATATTTCCAATATGCAATAACACTGCCTTTAAACTCAATGTTGAACTGTCTATAAACAATCTCCATTCTTCTGGGTTATAGTTTATATTTAAAGCCGCCAGTAAGCCGTTAATGTTACTGCAGAAAACCAAGTTATTCTCCATATTGAAAAATGGTTCTAAGTCTTTGTGGCGTTTACGAAAAACACATACCGAAACATCGTCTTCTAACAAGTTCTACTGCTGCAGTCTTGATCCAAGTAACTCTGC